GCTCATGGCTGAGAATACGGTGCTGAGGGGCTGGGGTGCTCATGGCTGAGAATACGGTGCTGAGGGGCTGGGGCGCTCCGTGAGGCCAGGGTTCGCCTGTGGACAGCAGTTGTTGTAACCTAACGTTGCCTCTCCAGGATTCAGCTCTGTTGGTAGACGGCTTGCCTATTACACATGCAGCACTGGGCTCCACCACCGGCACTATATAAAACAGGTGTGGTCGTGCAGGCCTGTAATCCTAACTCTCAGCATCAGGAGGCGGGAAGGTTGGAAGTTCAAGGTCACCCTCAGCAATACAAACAAGATCCAGACCAGCTTGGGCTACACTAGATCCTATCTCAAAAATAAATGACTCAAAAAATGTAAAGTTCCCTCTGCGTTTCTATATCCTGGACACAGGAGACCAGCTGCTTGGCAGCAAGGATCTTGGGAGAATGACCTTAATCCCAGCAGCAGAAGGTGGAGTCTGAGCCTAGCCTAGAACACTCAGCAGCAGGAGGTGGAGTCTGAGTTTAGCCTAGAACACTCTGATGCTGGAAGAAATGCAGAAAGTAGGGTAAGCTGGGTCACAAGCACGCTCCGAAATCGTGGGCCATTTTGAATTTGCACACTGACTTAGCTGCATCTCAGGGTCCAGGAATACTAATCTGTGGTCATTTAATTGCACACTGTCCTTCGTGGACAGTGGGTGGAGGGATGGTCTGCTTATCTTCCATCTTTTCTGGAGAAGGCCCTTGGCGGTGGGTGGGGGGTGGACTGGCTATCTTCCATCTTTTCTGGAGGACACCCTTGGCAGTGGGTCTCCATGGGGCCAGAGAGCATCCTGGGCCTTGAGGTAGCCAGCATGAGTGACCCCAGTGAGCACTGTGGGCTCACGTTCTCTCTGGGTGGAAACGCTGGGCCAATGGGCGCTCCTTGCTAGCCAGATCTGGGTTATATTTTTAAATCAGCTTTGGCTGTTGTACAGACATGCTTCATGGTCGATTCACAGACCCTGACTCAGAGCAGCACGGGACACACCTCCTGCTGTAAGAGGCTCTGTCCCGCTGCCGCCTTTTAAGGGGCATCAAAGGCTTGTCAGTTCGCCAACACTTCACCAGCCTCCAGAGTTCTGGCTCTTCCTACACCCAGTGTGTCAGTGATGAGCAATCTCACTGTGGGAGAGCCAGGAGGCAGCCTCAGCTCTGGCAGCCCCAGGCCCCCTCCTTCCATCCCTGCCATAGCTCTTCCCTTGTGGCATTGCTGTTGGGTCAGCCTGTTCTGGCCTTGCTCTGGGCACTTCCTGTGAACCCCCCCCACACACACCCCTGGGCACCTGCCTTCTGAATGGGGCAGGTGCTGCTGAGCCTCTAGGGAGAACTGGTAACACGGAGGCACCCTTCGCCTATCCCTAAGCTTGTTCCTGGCCGTCTCAGGAAAACGGTTTCCAGCCCACAGTCTTCCCTGGCCCTGGCCTGCCCTGCTCACCAGTCTCTCAAGTTTGCCAGGACCTCCTGCTCTAAAAAGGTCCAGTGAAGGTCCACAACCCACAAGTTCCACTAGCCGAGCACCTGGAATGTGGTGCTGGCTGCTCTGCAAGGTACCTACCACAACCATAGCGCTCAGGTGCTGGAGGAGTGGGGACGGAGCTGGCTGCCATATCCTGTCTCTCTACCTCCCACGTGACAAGCAGCCTTCTGATTTGTCAGACAGAAACCCAGACTTGATTTAGGAGAACTGTTGCTGAATGGTAAATCCTCAGACCTCAGTTTCCTCCTCTGTGAAATGGGGCTAGTTACAGCACCTGACTGGGTGTGCCTACAACACAGGCTGGCACGGAATGGTGAGAAAACATGTCCATTCCATGCTGCCCCCCCCCCCCCAGCAGTGATGCCTACTTAATACAGAACTTTCCTGTGTGGCCTCTGTTGATGGCTATCTACCTCTGAGGGCCAGGAGTCTCTCCTCTGCTACTGTTACCAGGCCTCCTGGGCTCCACCTGGTGTTGGGGTGCAGGCTTTGCATCAAGAGGGCGGCAGCAGGCAGACTGCTCTCCTTGGGCCTTCCTGGGTGAGTTACTGAGAGCGAGGCTGTCAGCCATGAAGACATGAGTGCTGTGCTCAGCAGCTCATTCTCTAGTGACAGGTTCCAAACAGGCGCTCTGTGTTCCTACAACTCCTCCTGGCCACCGCCCCACAGACCCCTCGGCCTGGGGCCCTCTGAGTTGCAGGCGGGAGGCAGCTCAGGCATGTGTTTGACAAAGGCCAGGGCCTGGCAGTGGCAGACCCCAGCTAGTGCATTTCTCACCTGGTGCCTTTTAGAGGTTCCTGGGCAGTGGGTAGCACCTCCAGGGGACTCTGGCCACCTTGGGGCTGGTTGCCAGCCTTCTAGTCAGGCAGAAGAAGAGAAAAGGTTCAGAGGAGCACGGTGGTGTTAAGAAGGAGTCCCCCAAGGCCTCAGGCCCTACCTCAACCTTGTCGGACAGGAACAGAAAGGGCTGCATCCCAGGCGGAGGGGGTCCGAGGAGGACGTCCACAAATTCAGCACAACCGTGCTCCACTCGCTGACAGGCTGCGGGACAGCAGGGCTCAAGTCTCCTGACTGAGCAGATTTGCCCAGGAAAATAAAGCAGAGAGAGGTCCTATGAACTCTGCACAAAAGGAGAGTTGCCTTGCTACCAGGCGAGTGGGCAGGGGCAAGACATGGAGCCTGGCTGGGGATGAACCGTCGTCCTGCCTGTTTCTCTGAGCCAGCCCAAGACAGAGGAGTGTGCACAGGGAAGTATGGAGGCTAGGAGAGGCGGTAGACAGGCAGATAGGAGAGAGGTAGGACAGACAGGAGGAGTCTGGCTCAGGTGGATGGACGGGGCAGGATGGCTAGGACAGTGTGCCAGGGAGTGTGTGGAGAGAGGCGCGCAGCGCGAGCAGTGTGCGCCTGGCCACGGCAGTGTGAGCAGGGCACAGAGCCAGCAGCGTGAACACTGGTGTGGGCAGGTCGAGGTGGTCCCTCCCAAACACATATGCGCACCCAAGCCCACTTTTCTGTAGGACCAAGATTCAGGGTCCTCCCAATAGCCCTTTCCCCAAGGGGGTTCCTGACTGGGGAGGAGACACAGACCCTTGAGAGCTGGTGGACTAAAATGGGAAGCTCTGGCTGCAGCACGGCCTCGGAGCGGGAGCTGCACAAGTCAGGGTCTTTTACAAAAGACGCAGCAAAGGCAAGAAGACAAGGGTAGAGCAGAGGGCACCCCGGGCTGGGGTCCTGGAGGAGGGGGGTAGAGTCCGGGCCAGTATCATTAGGGGTGCCGAGATGTCCCAGGACAATGTCTCTGTAGGGTACAGGGGTCTTCTGGTGGGACAAGGGTGAGCGCAGGAGTCTTTCATCTGTGTTCGAGGCAAGGCCCTGGAGCTAGAGACATTAATTCTCCTCCTCAGAGTCCAGTTTGCGGGAGCTGGGCCTGTGAAGTATCTCCAAATTACAGGCGGGAGAGTTACTTCTCTCAGAGGTGTATTAATTTTGTCTCACGGTACATTAATAAAACCTTTTCCTATGCAAGGACGTTCCTTACTAACGTCCTTCCCCGCAGCGCTGTGCGGGCACCACTGGCGTCCTGGGCAGTGACTGGGAACTGCAATGCTGACAACAGGGTTTCCAGCTCTCTGCACAATGGAGGACCGTGTGGGAAGTGGCACCAGTTTGCCACCTCCTCCAGAGTGAGCTTCAGGATGGCCGGGGCTCCACAGAGTGAGCTTCAGGATGGCCGGGGCTCCACAGAGAAGCCCAGTCTCAAACAACAGCTTTTGGAATCAAGATGTCAGCTCTGCCTTCATGTCTCAAAGGCTTGTGCCCAGGTAGGGCGCTGGGTGGCCGGGGGGAGGGGGGGAACTGTAGAGGCTGTCTGGTCAGCCTCGACCCTTGTCATTGCAAGCAAGAGATGTCTTCAGGCCCCACCTTTGCCTCTTTGATCCCTGTGGCCTAACAGACTGCTCACATAGCAGGCCTCTGCCTGGCAGGGACGGTGTCCACACGGGCCAGCCAAGGTCGCCAGCTACTGCTTCTACACTAGCTCTGTGGTCAGAGTCTTAAGAGAGAGGAGTCTTAGGAGTCTTAGGAGAGAGGAGGCCGGGGAAAGGGCAAGAGGCACCCGCAGCGCATGGAAAGGGAGCCACCGGAAGGCTTGCCAGCTGGAGGCGACCTTGCTGACTGTTCTTACTAGAAACAGGAGGTGAAGGTGGTGCGTAGCACCGCCGTCCGGGAACAAACGTGCGTCTGTCCACGCTTGTCCGTAGTGGCTGAAGATCCAGGATTCCCGAGAATGCCGTCAGTACCGTCTACACCCTGGCCTCAGGGTAACTGTCACCTAGCCTGCTCCTTTGTCACCGGCTACTGCCCAGTCCCACACTAGGCCAGGCCCTGCTGCTGGCACCCCTCGTATAAGCTGACCTCTGTTCTGCCCGTGCCCCTCCCAGTTCTCATGGAGGCAGGTAGGTATCACATTCACAATCCTCTTCTCCCCCTGGACAGACACCCTTTTCGGCTAGTTGTCCCTACTTCTCTCACTATTCTACTCCATGGGCAACTCCACTGCCCCATGCTCGAGTCCAGGCCACGACTGCAGTGGGATGACCACGATGCCCCCACCGGGCTCTCTGTCCCCAATCTGCCCTGTAACTCATTTCTCAGACCACTGTCAGGACCCTGAGAGGGCTGTCCTGAGCTTCTAAGGGTTTTGTCTGTCTGTGGGGTCACGCCCTCAGCTCTGCCAGGGTGCTAGGCAGCCAGCCCCTCCTCAGTCCTCTGACTTGAGCCCTTCCCCTCTGCCCCCTGAAGCTACCCATTCCTCAGACTCTCCACCAGCCTCTCTCACCAGCTGCCTCTTGTGTCCCCAGGGCCATTTGCTCCTGGTCCATCATCCTGCAGGTCCCATTGCAGGGAGCACCTGAGGAGGTCGTGACCAGTTTTCTCCTGCTGCGGAGAATCTCCGGACCTCTTGCTCAGTTCGCCCCGGGGCAGCACTCTCCTGTGTCCACCCTGTCTGTAAACTTGGTCCTGTCAGGCTGAACCACGACAGAGATAAAGCTAAAGACTGCAAGAACCTCCTAAAGGCTTAAGACCTTACAGCTGAGCGGAGATAAGCCGCTATCAGATAGTGCTGTCAATAGAAGCATCTGTCTTCCACCACTAGCCGCCCCTGGGGTCACTTCCAGTGCTTGAAAGGGAGAGCCATTCCAGCTCTGCACATCACCCCACCCTGTCCCTGAGGGGGTTTCTCTCTTCCAGCAGTTCTGAGGCAGGACCTCCGCAAGCAAGTTGTTAATGTAGTACCTACCAAGAGCTCTACCGCTATTCCTGGCACATTTTTGGAGGCTCTCCTGCCCTGGAAGCTACATTTGCCACCTCTCCCAACCAAGGGGCCCCAGGAACAGGACTCTTAATCTCTGGGACCCAACCCTAAGGCCTATGTCAGTGCTGATGGCAATTATGGCTTTATCAGCAAGATAAAGGTCGCTGGGCCACCTCAAGGGAGGGGGCTTTGCAGGGATCCGAGGGGGCAGCCTGACCTCTCTGTGAAGGAAATACCAATTAATTATCTTTTTACAGGCAAACCAATTAGACTCCCTAATCACCTGTGTAGGACACGGAGGCAGAAGGTGGAGAAATTGCAGGAATAAACAAGACAGAGAGGTTGGCTCGCCGTGAAACAGCCGCCCTGGGCCCAGGGCTCGCCAGGAGGAGCACAAGCTGTAGGCTGAAATCTTTTGTTTCAGTGAATTTAAAAAAATCAAATGTTACTAGCCCTGAGGGGCTGGGATGGACTTGCCTGGAGGTGACCAGACACGGTGCGTTAGTCTTCAGTGTGCACTCCATTAGCCAAGGAGCAGTGCAGTGCCTGGGCGGGGTTCCTGTCTCGGGACTCCTAAGATAGTTCTGCATGCTGCCCAGGGGCCAGGCAGGCAGCCTGGGCTTTCAGAGCTGCCTGGGTGTCCAGGCGAGAGGGTCTGTTCTGTCAGTAGGCAGCCCTTCTCATCTGAGGAGGTGCTTGCTCTTTTGGACCTGCTGTGGTTAGAGCTAGCCCAGAGGTCTGCCATCAGCTCACAGAGTCCCCCCTCTCCCCAGCATGGGCAGCGGTGCCTGACCTCCACCCAGCCTCCCCAGCACACAGCCCTCTGGCCCTCGGACTCCTCAGTTAGCCTGCCACGGGCCAACACAAACAACTCAGCTACGGGCAGCATCTGGGGCTCCCAGGACCAGAGCCTGATTAAGCGGGTCTCACACAGCTTGCACAGCCCCAGCAATCAGCCAATGTCCCTTTTACAAGTGGGTGCGCAGGCCCAAGCAGACAAGGCTGAGCACCCCACTGCTGTGCAGGTGCTCTGCCCTATGGGCTGCTCTCCTTCCAGCTGGGCTGAGGAGTGGTTTGAGATGCCTCCTAGGGTCTCAGAGTTCTTTGTCTGCAGCTGGTGGCACTGTTTCGGGAGGCTGAGGAAACCCTGAAGGGAACCAGGCCACTGGGGCGCAGATTTGAAGGTTGTATCAGGCTCCTGATCTACTTCAGAGCTGTCTGTCCACCGGGATGGGAAGGGGAGGCCACTGAGATGCTTCAGTGGGTAAAGTACTTGCTGAACAAGGTTGAGGACCTGAGTGCACACGGAAAAGCCAGGTACAAAAGCTGCTGGCTCCGCCCGCCACCACACACACAGCTAGATGGAAAGAAGAGCCTCCTCCAGTACACGCTCCTGCTGCCATGAAACTCTGCCTAAGTGCGTGGCCAAGTGCCGGTGGATGGTAACCTTGAAAACCACCAGCTGAAAGAACCCCTTGCTCCTCTGAGTTCCTTATGTTGGATATTGTCATAATGGCCCATGGTAGCTAATACAGGCCATCTGCTTTGTCACTAAAGTGGAGGGTACTGGTCTCAGTCCTGGGGGCCCAATGGGCTGTGTCTGCCAGGTGAGCCCTCCTGAGGCTGTGCTATTGGGCCTGGGCTACTTCTTGCATAGGACACTGTACACCAGTCTCGAGCCCACCCTGTCCTGCCTCTCTCCCCCAGGCCAGTTTTTGTGGGTTTTATGTTTCTTTTTTTCTTTTTCTTTTATGGGTTATGGAGTTTGCCTGCATGTGTGTCTGTGCACCACGTGCCTGCCCGGTGCTTGAGGCGGTCAGGCAAGGGTATCGGATTCCTGCAGCTGGAGCTGTGGATGGCTGTGACTGCCCCGTAGCTGCTGGAGACTGAACCAGGGTCCTCTGGAAAAGCAGCCAGGGCTTGAAACTGCCGAGCCGTCTCTCTAGACATCCCCTTCTCCTGACTGGCCAGTTTTCATTTATTCTTTCATCAAAAATTTCAGACTGGTGATGGTGGAACATGTCAGTAAGCACAGCACCCAGGACGCACAGGCAGGAGCAACACAAGTCCAAGGTTACCCTGACTACAGAGCATATGAAGCCAGCTCAGGCGACACGAGACCGCAGAAATCTAAAATCAAACACTCAATTTCCAAATGTTGCTCTTGGAAGCCTGGACAGGGGTGGTGCCCAGCCTGATGGAAACGGTGACACTGTGCCTTTATCTGTCGTCTTTGGTGGGCCGTGGTGGCTCTGGG